TTTCTCATTCCCATGCTCGTTTGCCTGGACCTAACAGGGCACCTCTGCACAGTGCCTCATTCCTCCCCTTGGACCAGTCTCACCAGTCTGTTCCCTCCTTGGTGTTTGTTGCTTATATACAGGGACTTTCTCCCACATTACCACTGAGCAGGTTTTACCAGCTGCCTCCACAGGTCAGTCTATCTGTCCATGGAGATGCTTTTGTCCCGTAATTGCATTTTGCTACAAGTTCTACCAAGAGCTGGGAGCCCCTGCAGGGAAGAGCCAGCGGGATAGTAGCTTCTTCTGTGTATTGTCCCTACAAGCAGAGGGGGGGAGGATCTGCCCCAAATGCCCAGCGATGCACTGGTGACACATTTCTTGCATATGCCTCCTCCATCTAAGGGACAGCCTGGGGGGCTGTTGCTGCAGTTTCCCTTTAAATGTCTTTGGGAAGTTAGCTGTAGTCGGAGAGCTGCTCTGCAGGCACCTGCTCCTTGGGTGGCTGGGGAGGCTAGAAGGCACAGCTCTGCTGAGGCCAGCCAAGCTGTCACTGCCTTTCACTGTGGCCAGGCTCTCGCGGCAGCCCCTGTCCCGCTCAGCCTTCCGCCAGGCAGCCAATTAGCAAGAAATCCTACTGTGTGGCCAGCTCCGAACGGCCACTGCGCCAAGGCCTGGGCTGACCCGTGTCCTGCTGCAGCTGGGCGAGGGCTCCCTCCCGCCCTGCCGGCCAGCGAGCCGGGGGGATGTGCAGTGGACGTTCAGGAGGAGAGGGCAGCTGAGAGCCTGCGAAGCTCTGACAGGCGGCTGAACAAGGGGCTTTTCAGGAAGACCCTGCCCGGAGCCCTGAGCGCCACAGGTGGGAACATCGCTCCAGCTCCTGAATATTCATCTCAGCCTGGGCTGCAAAATGGGGCAAAGCCAGGCCCAGCCGCCTGCTGCTGTCCAGCAGTAGCATGGCCATGCTGCTGACAGAGCCGGGAGCAGCCTGCTCGCTCTAGTGTCTGCACACTGTGGGAGTGAAACCTCTTCCCAGAGCCGAACCACCAGCTTCTCCACAGTCTGAGGGCTCAGGGTCTCTGGAGAGCCTTTGTGGCCTTGAATCTTTAACGGAGCTCTGTGCTGGTGTACTCTGTCCTTGCTTTGCACCTCCAGTTAGCTCTTCCTCTCTCCATTTTTGCTCCCTCAATCTCCAACTGTTTGCAGGACTTTGTCAAATCAAAAAGCATGCAATGCTCTCAGAGCTTTGCTCCTTTAGCAGGATTCAGTGTGCACTGTTCTTCCTCCTCTCCTCCACTCTTTTGTCTCTAGCATCCTTTTTAGGAGTAGCCATAGTCCTTGTGCTGGGGAATACCCAGTGACCCAGACATCAGCCATTCCAGGGTCACACTGGAAATCACGAAAAGGTTTATGACATTACAACTAGGTGCATCTTCCCTAGTCTTTGTATCTGCTAGACCACCAGCACTTACTTCCTCAGCTATCAGGAAGGTCACAGGCCTCTGCACAGTCTGAGACCCAGCCAGCAGCTCCTTCAGCATGCAGTTTTACATGGCTTTTCTCAGTTTCTGTCCCACATTTCATTTCTAACAGAGTCTAGGTGACTGGTGGCTGAGCTGAGCCAATGATAACACATCTCATAAGAACCAAATTCTTGCCAGTCTTAGGATGATGGCAAGTAGGCAGTGGGGTTTAGTGCAGCCAGCTTCTTTCAGCTTCAAGGTTGTGTTCAAATGCACGGTCCATGGCTATGGAGTCCTTCCCAGCCTGAATCTGGTCCTCTTGCAAGGTTGCTTTTGACTCCAAGTTTCAAAGCTTTATTGCCTTGTTTTAATATTAAACAATATATTTTTAATCATTGCTAAATAACTCTCTTGTGTTTTGCTCTAATAAGAAACAGGCTGTTCCGTATCTGTGAAGCAAGGGAACCTTTGTCTCTAGTAAGAGGAGAGCGTAACACTCCCCACTTACTGCTGCTGCTGTCTCTTGTTGCAGACATTCCTGTGATCCCTGACTTGGAGGAAGTCCAGGAGGAAGATCTGGCCATGCAAGTGGCAGCTCCCCCCAGGTAAGATCACTGCCAGGTGTTCTTGAGACTCTCCATCAGCAGTGTGAAATGGCTGGTGAAATTAAACTCCACCTTATCTCATGCTCTCTCTGGATGTCAGTGGCAGTGCTATTCAGCAGGGTTCGATGCTGTGTGGGGCTCCAAGCTGAACAGTGCAAACTTCTTGTTTCCTATTACACAGAGAAAGCAATTACTGCATATTCTCTATATATATATACAAAACCTACATTAGACTAGCATGTTTGATGTTGCAAAATGAAACTCTCAAAAGTTAGGAATTGCTTGATTTAAGGTTGCCTGTATAACCTCAGATGCCTCCAGTACACGTGTATTATCACACACGCTTTGATTATGCACGGTCGTCGGCTGCTTTGCCTTCCACAGGATATCCTTCTTACTCAAGTGCCTAGTTAATTTGCAAAGTATGATCCTGTTGTTTGAAGGTGTTATCAGAATAGTCTTGGGGTTAGCTCAAGGGAGACCAGCAAGTTTTAAAAAATGAAAGTTTGGGGGGTTTTGTCATAAATGTATTGGTAAAGTCTTCTCTGCCCTGTTGGACCTATTGCCAAGGTCACAGACTGGGATTTCTATTGACCCTTATTTGGAGGGGTGGGATATCTTACTCCTGACCACAGATGCCTCTCTCACAAGTAAGGAGTAGGTATTGTAATTAAATAGCTGTTAACAAAATTAAATGACACTTTATAGTAGAAAATTTAAAATTACTTTGTCTCTCACCAGACTTCAGGTCTTTGTTTTCTCTCTTTTTTTTTTTTTTTTTATAATCCTGTCTGTTTGTCCTGTATCCAGTGTCTCCCTGCAATGGAAAAGACAAGTAATTTTCATGGACAGACACAAACAGAAATTAAATTAATATAGGTCTTTTCTATAGTATTGCATTACCTGTGAAGGGAAGCGTGGCACAACAGTGTATTACCTCCCTACCCCGTGTTTCTCTTTGGAGGCTACATTTTAAGAAATTGTATTTGATAGCTGTGACTCAGCTCAGACACGGAAATCACAAAGTCCCTGCTATTCTGTAGTTTGTATGGTGGGGCTCTCAGAGCCTGCTGGGTCTGTTCCAATGTTCACTATGTTCCTGTTTTCTTTCTTGCCCTTGCAGCTAGTCTGTGGATCTTCTCTCTGGTGTGCTGGCTTCTCTGAGGGAGTCTGTGGTCACTCCACAACCTATTTTTATGCATGCGCACAGCCTGGCATGCAGATTTGTCAGACTGTTCATTTGCTGAATGAGATTTGCTTCTGTCTGGGGACACCCATCTCAAGAGTCCGCGTGGGTGATGTGGACACTTGAGATGGGTGTCACCAGATTCCTGTTCATGCCACCCTTGTCCTCAAATGCGCTTCCACACTTACCCAGGCTTGTTCTTTGACCCTTTCTGGTTGCAGTGTGCAGGTGAACCGAGTGCTGACCTACCATGACCTGGACAAAGATCTTATGAAGTATGCTGCCTTTCAGACTCTGGTAAGTGGATGTTGCTATGGGGTGACCCATGCGACTCCCTCTCCTTCCAGGCTCCCATCATCCTCCACAGCGATACTCAGCTGCACAAAATACACAGCCCTATCATCCAAACAACTTCCAGTTTGCTTTCAAGTCTGTTCCTCTCTGCAGTGTGGCTTTCATGCTTGTTTGTGTCTGTAAATAGGGTGGGTATGGTATCTGCTGCTCAGATGAGGCTCCTGCTGTTGTTCTGGACAAAGTACATGCCCCTTATGAGGCAAACGTGTCTATCTCTAGCAAGACCTACCTGGTGAAATGATGGTGTCCACTTTATCACTGTCTGTAAGACTGTGACTGTGTGTGTTCATAGGATGGAGAGGTTGACCTGAAGCTTCTCACCAGGGTTTTGGCTCCAGAGCATGAACTACGAGAGGTGAGTCTTTCTTTTGTGGGAACACTAGCAAGGCAAAAGCTTCTTATGTGTCTCAGACTATAATTGGAAAGTAAGCCTTTGTTGGTGGGGTGGAGGAGGGAGATGAGGAGGAACCTGTGAAGAGGAGATTGTCCAAGAGGATGGAAGTCTGATTTCCCCAGCAGATTATTTTAAAGGTATATAAGGCTTTATCTGTGTGAGATTATGGCATCACTATGATTGGCCCCCTTCAGTATGAAAGAGCTAGTAAGGAAAATGTGAAGGGCCTAGCACTGTCACAGATCCCTGCAGAAACAGGGGATCTGTTCTGCTATCATCAGATCTATCTATGTGTATCTATCAATACACAATACAATTGTGTATTGTCTTTTGGTAGCCACCATGAGCTCCAGGTAGTTCTACAGGGCGGTACAGAGGGACAAAAGCAGAAAGCATTTGGGGTGTGGGCGGAGGGGTGTGTTAAAGCAGGACAGAACAACCTCGATACAACTGGGGGGGGACAGGAGCTCTGGACTTGCAACAAAGGATTTCTGCAGCTCAGAATTGCAGATGCTTCAGCAGACGTGCAGAAGGGTGGCAGATTTTTATGGCTTCTCTTTACAGCCTGTCTGGGAGTATCTAAGATTAACAGGTGTCAAAAAATCTGTCCTTTACGGAATTCTGCAACATGAATAATTCTGTCAAAATCTTTAAATTATAGCAGGGATTCACATTTCATTCTGGCTAGGATTCTTGTTCTAGCCAACTGAATCTGGGACTCCCCTGGCAGGGGCAGTTGCTATTTAGTTTGCTGTTCATCTTGGCATCATTCAGAGACCTTTGGGTGTCACGAGTAACATTTCAGCATGTTTGTATTTTTCCTCTTCGTAGGATGATGTCAGCTGGGATTGGGACCATGTCTTCACAGACGTGTCCTCAGAACTAGTGACTGAGTGGGACCTGGGACAGTCTGAGAGAGAGGACCATCTCAGTCTGCCCTAGAGCACTGGTACACCAGACGCCTCATACATGCATCCCCTGTAAATAGTTTAGCACTTTAATTTTCTATTCACTTGTTTGTATTTGAGAATTTATTTCAGACATGAAAATAAATAGGACCTTGCTTCATAGGAAAACTGGCTCGGGAGAAGTTTTGGGTATTTTGTAATAAAAATCTTTGTTCTCAAAAGAGATTAAGAATTCTAAACACAATAAAATATTTACTTATGAACAGTCACTTCCACCCACTAGCACCTTTATAGATAACTGCAACAGTCAATCTTTCCTCTACCAAAATGCAGCCTCTCTAGGGTGGACCATCTTACAATGGAGTGTGCTTTTCACTGATGGCTATCAGAGAAGCTTAGGCTGATCGGATTTGTTTGCCTAGGACATCAAGATTGCCATCTTTCTCACTACAGATGCCACAAGTTGTCAGGATACCCATTTTACATTTCATCCAGCAGCCTCCAGCCATCCCCTGCTAGTTTAACCTCTTTCCTGGAACATTGCCTCTATATTGACTCAGAGGAAGCAGCAGCCCCTATTAAACTGCCAACACGGCTTCTTACAGAACCTCTTTTTTCCCTTGAGGTGTCCCCACTAAGTTCTGACCAGGCCTAACCCCGCTTAGCTTTTGCAATCAGATGAGATCACAGCCTGAACAGAGATAGCTTCAGGCAATAGGTAGTCTGCAAAGAAAATACTGTTTATTCCCCGCATGTGAAAGAATGGAGCCTGCTGCTCTGAAACAAGGTAGCTCCCTGATGGGTGTCTCTTTGGAACAAAGTAACCCACTCTTATTGCCATCTAAAGAAAAATCCATTTAGCTGTTAACGCCCTGTCCCCATAGAACCATGGTCATTATTTGCAGGAAACAGTAACATGACTTCTAAGCCAGTGTCCTTCAAAGCCTTGTCCCGGTGGAGAATCCTGCTATATGCTTCTGGGGGACAGTGCAGGTGCTGGGAGGAAGGCTGGCTGTGCTGCTTTTCTTAGCTTGTTTGGTTGATCTAATAGAGCACTGCATCCCCACCCTTGTACAGACAGCAGGACAGGTCAAATAACTCACTGAATTCAGTAATCTGCAAAATTTCAGATCAGAGCTGATTGATAGGCCAGACAATTCTACCAACAGGAGAGAAGCAATTGGGTCCCAGTCTGGGGTGACCAAAATAAGGGGAGGCTCGTCTGTCTCAAGGAGACACTAAGTTTTTTACAACCAAGAAATCTCCTCTATAACTAGAAAACTAGGTGAGACAGAAGCTTGGGAGGCCAGTGTATGGAGGATAATCCTGAAGTCTTTCTCTGAGCAGAGAAACCTTTTTTGGTATGAACAGAAGCTTCCCAGCTGAGCTAGCATCTATTTTTCTGTGACACCTATGGTTCTGGGCCAAAGAGAATTTAGAATGCTTACTACATTCCAGGAAAAAAAAAAAATTCAGCAAACTAAAGTAGTTTAGTAAATCAGAAAAACCTCACAAGCCAGCCTGAGAGGAAGAGAATGGTAAAGGGAGGAGGGGATGGGACATGGATTTGCTCAGTTCATCCTTCAAAGATCACAGAGAAAGCAGAGGCACTCTCCTCTCAATTGCAAACTGTAGGACCATCCAGTGTGGGTTCTCTCCCTTCTACTTGATCTGAGGTTCTAATCCACACTGCTCCTATAAGCTGGTTGCCTGGTATCACCTTATTCAGTGGTATCTGCTTCCAGTGAGGCTCTAGCCTCTTTGAAGCATGAAGCGAACATAATTTTCTGTGCCCTGAGAATGAGAGGACAAACTTTGGTGGTTGCAGGAGTGGCCCAAAACAGACTACCAGTATCCCCACTGAAACTTGGGTCTCTGCGCCATGTCACTACCAGCGAAGTAACTGTAATCCTACTACAGTGCCGCACTTGCCTACGGTTTGTTGAGGAGGAGGGCAGGAAAACAACATGAGCAGGGAGAGAAAGGGAGGCTGAGAGGTGAGCCCACCCTTCTCCCTTCAGTCAGTGTCACAAAGCATAGGAGGCCTTGCACTTTTGGGTCACTTCATAAAACCACAGTCACCCAGTGCAAATCAACCAGTTTTCAATGACCACGAAAGCTGAAAATGCCCACGCCTGAGGCATGAGAGTGGGTAAATGTGCTGGTTTTGGCTGGGATAGAGTTAATTTTCTTCATAGTAGCTAGTATGGGGCTGTGTTTTGGATTTGTGATGAAAACAGTGTTGATAACACGGGGATGTTTTCATTATTGCTGAGCAGTGCTTACACAGAGCCAAGGCCTTTTCTGCTGCTCACACCACCCCACCAGTGAGCAGGGTGGGGGTGCACAAGAAGTTGGGAGGGGACACAGCTGGGACAGCTGACCCCAACTCACCAAAGGGATATTCCACACCATATGACGTCATGCTCAGCATATAAAGCTGGGGGAAGAAGAAGGAAGGGGGGACGTTCAGAGTTATGGCATTTTGTCTTCCCAAGTAACTGTTACGCGTGATGGAGCCCTGCTTTCCTGGAGATGGCAGAACACCTGCCTGCCGATGGGAAGGAGTGAATGAATCCCTTG